AGTTATATTTGGAGGTGTTTACATGTAAGCATATAGTGAAGTCTAAGATGAAAATAAAATGTAGAAAGAGAACATGATTGCTTTTTGTTAAGGTTTTTTGGTAATCAGTACCTTCTGTGGGTATTTGTGAGGTAGAAGTTATAAAATTGAAGAGCCCATGAGGTACTTGTCTGTTCTTAATGTCATCTGTCATCTGGACCAAGTGCAGTGGCTGACACATGGATATTATTACTTATTAAGCTTTGCCTTTTTCCAAAATTTGTTTTTATCTTCTTTCCATCTAGTCTTGTTTTGAGCAAATAAGATATCTACTTAAAAAAAAAAGTACTTTCCAAGGGCTTTGTTCATATTTTTATAAAGACTATCTTATTCTCAATTAAAAACATTTTGTTTTTCAGACTTGCAACGTGAGGACATAAGTAGTATAGAAATTGTAGGGGGAGCAACACGAATTCCTGCCGTGAAAGAACAAATCACTAAGTTCTTTCTTAAAGACATAAGTACCACGTTAAATGCTGATGAAGCTGTTGCCAGAGGATGTGCATTACAGGTATGATTATTAATCCTTTTTTTAGAATGTATATTTTGCCAGAAATGTGACGACAGGCCTAAGGGGACCTTTTGTATTATCTGTTCCAACCATTTGTCAGACTAAAAATATATTGAAATTATTTCTGATAAATAAGACTTGTGTCTTTCCAATTTATGTTTTTAAACTGTCCTAGGACAGTATGTCTGTACTGTAGTGCAAGAACATTTACTTTATGATTCTTGTAATTATTCCCATTTAAAATTCTTTTTTTGAGATTTAAAAATATTTTATATTTTTGTAAGGTCATAAAAAGTACTCTGACACTTGTAAATTTTAACTAGCTGTTACCAAAAGACAATTTTAAAAACATAATTTTATTACAAGGACTTTATTAAGCATTTCAATCAGGGTAGCCTGGGGTATGTTTTGTGTTTGTTGATTTAAATATGGTATACATCTTATTTTCAGTGTGCGATTCTCTCACCAGCATTTAAAGTGCGTGAATTTTCTATAACAGACCTTGTTCCCTATTCAATCACATTAAGATGGAAGACCTCTTTTGAAGATGGAACTGGGTAAGTTACTTTTAAAGCCTTGTTAGAGCTTGTTGTAAATAACCAGTTGAACCTAATTTTCTCAACTAGAGGAATTTACACTTCTAATACTCTCAAATACTTTTAAGTAAAATGTTAGAAGAAAGGAACTATATAAAATAATATATAATCTATAAACCATGATGATATATTTTTAATTAGTATTTTATTATAAAGTAAATCGTTCTTACATTCAAATAAAAATCACAAGGTAGAAATATAAAAATTTAAAAACCTGCATCTGCCATACCCCAACTGCTACTTAGCACATTTTACAGAGGTAACTATTGTTAACAGCTAGGTTTCTATCTTTCCAGTCATTTTCTTTGTCAAAAATAAAAGCATGTACTTTGTTAATACATACATGATCATCTGTGTGTTTCCAGTGCACCTTGTTTTTTTAAAATATGTTATATATTACTTTTCCATGTCAACAGTGACTATTTTCTCAGCACTTGTGTGTGCCGTAATTAACCAATACACTCTGGAGTCTTATTTTTTTTCTGTTTCAGGCAGTGCTAATAAGAACATCCTCATACACATCTCCTTGTTTAGTTGTGTTTGGTATATCTGTTAAGATAACCATATAAGACTAAAATTGACCCAAAGGATATGAACATTACTATAACTAGTACTGCAACATTATTCATTAAAAGGATTATACTAATTTATATTCCTTTTAGCATTGCTGTGATTATCTGTTACAGCTTATTTTCTCCTGTGCTTTTAAACATAAGATTCTGAAAGTGAAAATAAGTACTTTGGTATTAGATTTGCATTTCTGACTATGAGCCACAATCTTTTCATGCTTTTATTGACACTTATGTTTCATTTTCCATGAACTGGCCAGGATTTAAATAGCTTGCTTCCCTACCAAAATAAAAATTTATGTTTCAAATAATATATTTGACTGCTTTTCAGACATAATTTGTATAATAAAATAAACCTGTTTTTAGTTGCTTTTAACTTTTTAGTTTTAAGTTGCTTTTAAACTTTTGTCCTGTGCTCTATATATTCATACCCCAAGAAGCTAAAATTTTACACAGATTCTAAAAATAGATTGATCTGAATGTTTTGCAGAGCATTTAAATGGCATGTGTTAATGTCAATTTTGAGGCAAGAAATGCTGTTATTTAAAGTTAGTTTCATGGGTGCCTGACTGGCTCAGTCAGAAGACCATGCGACTCTGGATCTTGGGGTTGTGAGTTTGAACCCCACATTGAGCGTAGAGATTACTTAAATAAGTACTTAATTTCAGTTAAAGATACAGTGATCCAGAAAAAAATTATGTAAGAAACCTATGGAGGAGTTAAATTGAAAAGTAAATCTAGGGGCGCCTGGGTGGCGCAGTCGGTTAAGCGTCCGACATCAGCCAGGTCACGATCTCGCGGTCCGGGAGTTCGAGCCCCGCATCAGGCTCTGGGCTGATGGCTCGGAGCCTGGAGCCTGTTTCCGATTCTGTGTCTCCCTCTCTCTCTGCCCCTCCCCCGTTCATGCTCTGCCTCTCTCTGTCCCAAAAATAAATAAACGTTGAAAAAAAAATTAAAAAAAAAAAATAAATCTATCCTAGTGATTACAATAAGAAAGTAGGGGCGCCGGGTGGCTCAGTCCCTTAAGCATCTGACTTCGGCTCAGGTCATGATCTCATCATGGTTCATGGGTTAGAGCCCCGCATCAGGCTCTGTGCTGACAGTTCGGAGCCTGGAGCCTGCTTCAGATTCTGTGTCTCCTTCTCCTCCCCTGCTCATATTCTGTCTCTCAAAAAAAAAAACAAAAAACAAAAAACAAAACTTAAAAAAAATTTTTTTTTTAAGAAGTAAAAGATAATGTAGGTCCTTAAAAACTAGGATAGAGGGAAAGGTCCATGAATGTGGGATTTTCAAACCTCATAATTAGGGTTGACAATACAGTATTATAGAGTGAGTTTCTGGGCCACTAAAAACAAATAGTTATAAGCTATTTGTTACATTATTTAAGGAATAGGAGTTATGTAGGTTTTAAAACCTCCTCTAACAGAGAGGAAGGTTTTCTTTTTTAAATTTATTATTTATTTTTATTAAATAAATAATATATTTATTATTTTTTAATTAGATTTTTTATTATTTTTTAAAAATTGTTTTTAATGTTTTTATTTATTTTTGAGACAGAGAGAGAGCATGAGCAGGGAAGGGGCAGAAAGGGAGGGAGACACAGAATCCGAAGCAGGCTCCAGGCTCTGAGCTGTCAGCACAGAGCCCGACGCGGGGCTTGAACTCACGAACTGTGAGATCATGACCTGAGCCAAAGTCAATCGCTTAACTGACTGAGCCACCCAGGTGCCCCAAATTTTTTATTATTTAGTAATAAAGGATATTATTATATCATTTGTAAAAATTGGAATATGGATTGTATGTTAAAGTATCAGTATAAATTTACAAAGTTGACAGCTGTACTGTAATTATTTTAGAGCATATCCCTATTAGGAAGTACACACTGAAGTATTTAAGGATAAAGAGCCATAATGTATGTTAACACCCTCCATTGATTCAGAAAAAAATACACACGTACGGAGTGTGTTGATGAAACAAATGGAATAAAATGCTGACAGTAGTAAATCTAGGTAAAAGATATACAGGTGCCCCTTGTTCCTTGTCCTGTTTTTCGTTTTGGTTTGTTTGTTTTTTCCCTAGCTCCCTTAAAAAAAACAAAACAAAACAAAACAAAACAAAAAAACCTTTATTTGGAAATAATTTCAAACTTCTATACCGGAGCAAAAATAAAAAGTGTTATATGTAACAAGTATTTTGGAAACTAATAAATAGCATTTGGTCCTCGTATGGGAGCAAGAAACTAGCCCTTGTGTATTGGCCTCAAAATATACCTAATCTCAGTTATTTTTTCTTTGCTTGATAAGATAGAATTGTCTGTTGTACTATGACAGACATTCTAAAAACTTGGAGCCATAGACCTACCAAAATGCATATTCATAGCCAAACCAGTAATTCTTTTTCTTTATATTTGTGCATAGAGGTCTTCACGGTTGCTACTATTGAATTAGGAATGACATGGATTCTGTAATTAGATTCAGATGCAACTTTCTATTTGTTTTTAACTGTTTTCTCCATTTTAGGGAATGTGAAGTATTTTGTAAGAACCATCCTGCTCCATTCTCAAAAGTCATTACTTTCCACAAGAAGGAACCATTTGAACTAGAAGCATTTTATACTAATTTACATGAAGTGCCTTATCCTGATCCAAGAATTGGTAAGAGAACTCAAGAAAAAAATTTCATAAACTTTTGCTTTTTATAAATATATTAATATTTGAATCAAGGAAGTAAATAAATTGATATTTCAGCCAAGCACTGGATTTTTAGAGAAAGATATTCATACTTTTTCTAAACACGAACTTTTAGTGCTCACAGTATTTCTGGAATAACAGCAAGTTTTGAGTATTTTTTAATTCGTTTTTACTTCTATATTTAAAATGCTCTGTAATCTGCCTGAAAGGTTTGGGTGAGGGCTATTTTTTATGGAAAGACTCCGTAGTAAGTTGAAATTGTGTTGCCAGACTGACTGTATATGACTCTAAATTTATGCTCCCTGGCAACAACTAGAACAAGTATCATTGGAGCAATATTAAGTGAGAATCAGGGACTGTAATATCCATTTTGGTTGGGTAATCTTTTTTAGAGATAAAAAACAAGTATGATTTTTATAACATTTACAAGAGAAGGAATCATTTGTAATTTTTTAAATTTTTTGTATGTACTGCTTTATTGATAGGCTAGAAAGGGAACAATGTGAATATTTCAAATATGTTATTGAAAGCAGTAAAAATAAATTATTGAAGGTGGAATTAATTTGCTAGGGCTTCTGTAACAAAATACCACAAACTGAGTGGCTTAAACAGTAGAATTTATTGTCTACAGTTCTAGAAGCTTCAAGTATGAAATCAAAGTGTTGTCAGGGTTCCTTCTGAGGGCTGTGAGGGAAGGATCTGTTCCAGGCTTCTCTCCTTGGTTTGTGGATGGCTGGCCATCTTTATGTTCACATGACATTCTCCCTGTATGTGTATCTGTCTGCAAATAAGGATACCAGTCATTGGATTCAAGTCCACCCTGATGACCTCACTTTAACTTGATTCCCTCTGTTTAGACCCTGTTTTTCAAATAAGGTCACCTTCTGAGGTACTTGAGAGTAGGACTTCATATTAATGTGGGAGTGGGAGTCTCCATTCAACCTATAATAAAGGTCAACCAAATTTTTTAGTTCTCAGTTTTTCTGCCTAGTATTCTCTTTCTACTATGGATATCATTATATATTAAGATTTTTCAAAATAAAACGTTTCTTAAAGTGAAAAGTTAATATGATCTCTGTAGGTATTAGTATCTGAGTAACTTAGCAATTTTGCTATAGGGCAAATAAAAATTGCTTTATTTATGAATTACCAAGATGATTATAGTGTTACAAAGCTTATAACAAAAGTATAATTCCATTTGGTTTTCAAACTCAAGTTGAATTGTTATTTTGGTTTTAGAATAGCAGAATACTTAAAAATTACATTGCCTTGAGTCAGATTGTCCTTGGTTGAAACTCCTACTTACCTTTGTCCTTGCATTAAAGATTTTGGGCAGGCTGCTTAACCTTTTCTGAAACTTAGTATTAAGTTTATTAAGCTGTAAAAAAGAAAAAAAGTGATCTAGGATCAGTGCCTTTCTCACAGTAATTAATCTGGATGTGATGATAATTTTATGATTATTTGCCAGCATCAAAATGATAATAGTCAAATTATTGAATGAACGAATTGAGTAAGTTAATCAGAGGCCCATGTGCTGATAAAAGCTCTTTTTTCCTGAAGGGAGCTTCACTATTCAGAATGTCTTTCCGCAGTCTGATGGTGATAGTTCCAAAGTGAAGGTTAAAGTTCGTGTTAACATCCATGGAATCTTCAGTGTGGCCAGTGCATCAGTAATTGAGAAGCAAAATGTAGACGGGGATCACAGTGATGCTCCTATGGAGACAGAAACTTCATTTAAGAATGAAAGCAAAGATGATGTGGTATGTAGAAATCCTATTGTAAGATTCCTCTAATATTATATATAGTTTCAAGGGGTGCCTGGGCAGCTCAATCATCCGACTCTTCATTTCAGCTCAAGTCATGATCTCACAATTTTGTGAGTTTGAGCCCTGCATTGGACTTTGTGCTGACAACTCTCGCTCTCCTTCTCTCTTTGCCCCTCCTCCACTCACACTCTCTCTGTCTCTCTCAAAATAAACTTTAAAAAATGAAAAATTAGGGGCGCCTGGGTAGCTCAGTCAGTTGAGCATCTGACTTCAGCTCGGGTCATGATCTCACGGTTTGTGGGTCCAAATCCCACGTTGGGTTCTGTGTTGACAGCTTGAAGACGAGCGTGCTTCACATTCTGTGTCTTCCTCTCTCTCTGCCCTTCCCTTGCTCACACTCTCTCTCAAAAATAATAAATAAACTTTAAAAAAATGAAAAACTAAATATTATATATAGTTTCTTAGTCATAACATAATCAAAAATAATCTGAGGTTTTTTTCTAAAGTTCTGTTGTAGGGATCAGTGTAAACTTTTTTTTAAATAAAAGCATAAAAGAATAATTTTAAATGCTCTACACTTTTCACATTTTAAACTCTTTAGAGGTTTTGCATCTTTTTAATAGCCTTATATTAAACACATATGTGTGTTTGGAGTCCTCTTTCCTAAATTCTTCTTTATTTCCATTAAAAACACGTATTATGGTTAGCTTTTTAGCTTACAGATAAAATCAATTCAGATTGATGAATTTTGAACTATATGTGTAACTATTTTTAGATTGATAAAGCACATGGCTAATAAAGAATTTTTCTGGGCTTGGGGGTATCTGTGGCAGTTGAACAGAAGAGTGTGCTATGCATTCAGTAACATCAATACAGATTTTTGACAATTTATGAAAGAGTTATGTGACCCTGGCATTATTCACTCTTGGTGTACTATAGATGCAGGAATTTTAAGTGAACATGATTATATTCCATTACATAGAGATTTTATTTTTTTATATGTATACTATTATAAGTTATTTTTAATGGCATATGTTTTTTCCAACCATAATTGGAGATCTGCCCTAGATTTTTTGTGTATTTGTGCATATTAAGAATGGATTTTGTTTTTTGTCAGATTTCAAGACCATTTTTCCCTTTTGTGGAGTTCATCTTTCTGTTTTTATTAATACTCTAAAATCCTGCACATTGATCAGAATTCTCCTTAATGTACTTTATTTAAGGATCATAGCATTTTCTTTCTTCTTCCCATGTATTATTTTGCTATTACATCCTTCCTTGAATTGAGGAGAAAGAAATGTCCTGATCTGTTAATGAAAATACAGTCAATTTTTTATAAATTAAGAATAATAGGTGAAAAGTTAGTTTTATTTTTTTTGAAAAGTTAGCTTTCTTAATTGTAGTTCACAATAATTTAAGTCAGACATGTAAATTTTTAATCCATTAAGATTTATTTTTACTAATATTGAGAGCACTCTGTATGCCTCTAGGATGAATTCTTCATAACCATTTCTGTTTTCTTCACCTCTGCTGAGACCTTTAGTTTTCTCTATATTGCAATTCTGGAGCACTAAAAACAATATGGCACCCATTTTTTCTGCTTCCCCTATTTTGTCTATGAGCTTGAGGTTCAGTTAATCTGTCCTTGGGAATAATTTGGATGTGGACTTAAAGGACTCAGTTGTGAATTAAAGGTATGAAATAATGACATTTGCTTTAGCTACTCAGAGACTTACTTGCTTATCAAGAGTGTTCTGCCTTATTGGAACATTTCCAAGTAGTTGATGTTCCCATATAAGGGATTTCTTCTAGATAAGTGAGATGTTCCTAAATACTCCTCCTACAATATATATATAATCAAGGATAAAGGAAGGTTAACATTATGGATCCTATCCTTGGTGTTATTGGCAAGCACATTCCACATATATTGTCTTCTTTTAAATCCCTAGCACAGCTGATATAATAGGTGTTGAATAAATTAGTTTATTTCCAAATCATTGCTAACAAGGGGTGACGTTGAGTATCCTGTGTAGAAAACATCCCATGTACTGTATTTCTTAGTGGTTTTCTCTAGGATTTTTTAAATTCTGTATCCAGAAGTTTAAAACCATAAGGCTTACACTCCACTATAAAGTCATTTCTCCTTTCCTCCCAAAAAATGTGAATCAACTCAGAGTACACTTTGGAAACTAATTGTTTCAGTTTTAGAGGAGAAAATAAGAGGGTTTTTACTCTACCTCAGCTGCTGACACTGCTGACTCTATATATAAAGAAACCCAGTGAGCAGCAGCAGCAGGAGTCTTTTTTTTTTTTTTTTGTACATGAGTCAATTTATGAAATTATGGGCCTCATTTTTTTTCATTAAAAATTAACATAGCTTTGATTTTCCTAAAAAATAATAACAGAGTGCTGACTTTTCTTTAATATAAAGATGTCTCAGGGGCGCCTGGGTGGCGCAGTCGGTTAAGCGTCCGACTTCAGCCAGGTCACGATCTAGCGGTCCGCGAGTTCGAGCCCCGCGTCAGGCTCTGGGCTGATGGCTCGGAGCCTGGAGCCTGTTTCCGATTCTGTGTCTCCCTCTCTCTCTGCCCCTCCCCCGTTCATGCTCTGTCTCTCTCTGTCCCAAAAATAAATAAAAACGTTGAAAAAAAAATTTTAAATTTAAGATGTCTCAGAAAATTAAATTGATACTTCTTGGTGTATACTAATTAATACATGGTCATATTAAGAAGTTATCACAGCCTAGGCTTTATCACAAAACCAAAGATCAGAAAGACTGTGCTATTCATCGTACTTCTATACCTTGATTTTACTATTCCTCAACTGTTGGCCATTTGAGTGGTTCATCTTTTTATTTATTTTTTCAAAATATCTAATTACTTCTATGCACCAGGCGCTGTTTTAGGCACTAAGGATACAGTGGTTAAGCAAAGAAGAAAAGGTCCCCGCATCCATCTGTTACCTACATTCTAGTGGGAAAAGACAGGCTAGAAGCAACAAGATACTATATAGAGGAAATTAATGGAAGGGGGGTGCATAGTGGAAATTAACTATGTGATAGTGATGAGGTGAACCACCTGTGAGGAAGGAACAGGTAAGCCAGCCTGAAGGATGAAAAAGCAGTTTGAAGATAGGTAGTTGTCTGGGCAGAGTGAGTAACAGGTATAAAGCCCCAGAGGCTGGAACCTCTTTTTTGTATTCTTTGTTGTAACAAATATAAGGGTAGCTGATAGATCAATAAGATATAGGAGTGGAGAAGGTGGAGAGAGCAGCAAGAAAAAACATTGAAGAAAGGTAGATCAAGGGGCAAATCAGGTTAAAGCCTTTATAGTTCATGAAAATGATTCTGGATTGTATTCTTAAGTGCTTTTCATCCAGCAGATAACTAGAAGCACTAAAATGTGTGTTTGGATATAGCACTGAACAAAAAAACGATCTCAACCCTCTTGAAATTTAAAATCTATAAGAGAAGCCAGAGTCTAGAGGCACTTCCTTTATTTAATTTCCCCACTATGGATAATATTCCTATGAACATTCTTAAATCATTTTAAAAGGTTAACAGATTACTCTCAAATTAATTGTGAGATGCACAGTTTTCCACTTTTTAATATATCTGAAGTTGGGGTAGGTCTTGCAAATGGTTATTGTTTAACCATTGCTATTACCGATGGCAGTCATGACATAGTTCTCATCACCTGTACGTGTGTGAACTTGGTTGCTCTTCCCAGTGGCATGACTAGGCAATTGCATCCCCTTGACATTTCTGTCAACAAATTGTTAAAAGACCATTCAAGGAAGGAATTCTCCTGTTGTTGTCTGAAAACAATCTGCTGACTACTTTTGGTAAGATAAAACACCATGATGAAACTTGCAGAATAGGTATCAGCGGCTTATAAGAAAATACTACAGGCCATACCTAGACCAAACTTTTTAACGAAAGCTGGGTCACTAATGCCTTTGATGGCACAGGGGACAATACTGTGTAGACAAATACAATGAGAACTGAATTTATTTGAAAGAGTTGGGTTCTGAATGTGAAGTTTTAGAAACACCTTAACCACTTTATATTGTTTATCTTTCAATATATTCACAATAGAAGAGTTCTTCAAATAAGTATAAAGTAAAAATGCTAAGTGATCAAGCATTTTGGCCACTTAATTGGTAGCATTTTTTTCTTATTAAATAGAGTTAACAGTGTATTTGTGTCTTACTGCATTACTTCAATGACCACTATCACTTTTTTTTACCTCTTTTCAATCAGTGGAGGGAAGTTGTACAGTTGGAAGGTGCCAAGGGGTGAGGTGGGGGTGTAATACCAGAAATAATTGACCTTTTTTTTTTTTTAATAATTGACCTTTTAACTACAAAGAATGCTGGTATAAATTATCTCCCAATTTATTTTTCTCTTTGGTACAAATAAGCATTTATTCATGATCGCCTTTGGGGTATTTTGTATTTGCTTAACTCCAGATATATTAGAAGACTTAAATTATACTGATTCCTGAATTCCAAGCTTTCTTCTTTTTAGGAGGATGGTCATAAGTAAGGTTAAAAAAGACCAGAAAAATCCATTCCTTCTGATTATTTACCAAGTAGAGTCTATTTTGACAGTCATCTTGGTTGAGAATTTGTCTTCTAGACGTTAAAAAATCTTTGAAGTTTTTTAATTCGGAGACCTCTACTTTGACAGTTTCAATGTACTGAGTATTTTACTACATTTAAAAATATAATTGAATTTATAATACATGTATTTTATATCTTTATTTTCTCACATTTGTAAATATTTTTCATATAAACATGTTTCATGTCAAGTTTAATGTTCTTTTTTGTAAGCTTACGTTTGTGACTTTTGGTTGGTGAATTTTAACTTGAGAACAGTTTTCCATTTATTTTGTAGTTATTTGCCTATAGGTGAATGCAACTATTCATTCACATAGCATCAAATAGGTCATTTTATTTTATTGACCTGTTAATCTGTTTATTTGTATTTATTCTCATTTGAAAAACAACCTTCTACTTTACTATGTTCACACTTTTCAAAGCAGGTTTGTACTCTAAGATGCTGTTTATTAATAATAAGGAAGACACTACCAATATTACAAATTATGTATTTTCTTTCCAGGATAAAATGCAAGTTGACCAAGAAGAAGGAGGGCATCAAAAATGTCATGCTGAACACACCCCAGAAGAGGAAATTGATCATACAGGAACCAAAACAAAGGTGTGTTTTATTGTTTTTATGGGGGTGTCTTTTTGAGATTGCTATTTCGAGTTAATGTATTCACTTTATAATGCATGCTTTTAATACACTTGATATTTTAAACCTTAGAACTGTGGAAAAGTATAGAAGGACACAACCAGAGTAAATACAATTCAGTGAGTTATAGAGAATTTTTAAAAGAATGAACCTTAACAATAAAAGTAAAATTATCTCTCTGGTAGGAAAAAAGATGTGTTTTTCAGTAATTTTTTTGTGTTACTAAAAGCCATATAATCCCAGAAAAATAAGAAATGGAATAAGCTAAATGAAGAAGACTTAAATTGGCAGAACCTTGCATCTCAAAATTAACCACTCTAAGCATTTTGCTACATATCATAAAATATTTTGCTTTGTGCAAAAATATTTTTGAAAGTAAAAATTTAAAGGGTAACTTTTTTATTGAGAGTCATAATTTTACGAGACAGTCATTGCTGATAAAAGGGAGACCATGACCCAGTCACACAGATGAATGTGCTCTAAATCTCATCTTCAACGGATTTTTCTATACTAAGAATTTAATCCGTGTTGGTTAATTGTATAGATTTTTTTCCAGAGGTTATAAAGATTCCATTTTAATTCCTGGGCTCTCAAGCAATATACAAACTGAACCCCATTTTTCTAGATTTTTTTATTTTACTTGATTTTTTAAAATATTTATTGTCAAGTTAACTAACATACAGTGTATACAGTGTGCTCTGTGCTTCAGGAGTAGATTCCCATGATTCATCGCTTACATACAACACCCAGTGCTCATCCCAACAAGTGCCCTCCTCAATGCACATCACCCATTTTCCCCACCCCCCCAACCGCCTTCAACCCTCAGTTTGTTCTCTGTATTTAAGAGTCTCTTATGGTTTGCCTCCCTCTCTGTTTGAAACTATTTTTTTCCCCTTCCCCCATGCTCTTCTTTTAAGTTTCTGAGATCCCACATGAGTGAAAACATGATTTACTTGATTTTTTTTTTGCTTTAATTGCTTAATAGCTTGAGATATAGTTTACATACCATACAATCCATCCATTCAAGTGTACAAGTAAGTGGTTTTCAATATGCTCACAGTTTTACAACTGTTACCACAATCATTTTCTCAGCATTTTCATCACCTAGGAACTGCCCAACAGTTTTCCAGAATGTTTCAACATGTTACAGTCATGTCAGCAATATATGAGGGTTCCAATTTCTCCACATCCTCACCAACTCTTGTTTTCTTTTTGTTGTTTTTTCATTACAGTCATCCCTAGTAGGTATGAAGTGGCATCTCATGATTTTAATTTGCATTTCCATCCCAGTATTTTTTATGTAGAAAGATTTAGTGTACACAGTATAAAATACTATCTGTATTAAAGTAGTCTTTAGTAGAAGGGTAATAGTTTTGTTTGGTTTTACATTTCTGTTTTATGTGAAATCACTTTTTAAATCTATTTTTAAGCTAGTTTTAGAAATTTATACTTCTCTTACTTTTTTTTTTTTTTTTTTGCAGTCAGCTTCCTCAGACAAACAAGACCGATTAAACCAGACCATTAAAAAAGGAAAAGTCAAGAGTATTGATCTGCCTATTCAGAGTAGCCTGTGTAGACAATTG